ACGCAAGATGCCATTCACGCTCTGATGCATGGTTGGATCAAATGGGCAGGACCCCCAGGAACCCTCCTGGTGGATGCCGGTAGTGAGTTCTGCACGGAGTCGTTTCATGCCTTCCTTCAAGAGCATGACATTAAGTTGAGAATGATCGCTCCCGAAGCCCATTGGCAGAACTCTCGAGTAGAAAGACATGGAGGTATCCTACAACACATGCTCGATAAAATGGACCATGAGAAAAGCATCAACACAGGAGAAGAACTAGAAACAGCGCTGCATTTTGCAACTCAAACCAAGAATAAATGGTCGAGACATCGAGGCTTTCCACCTGAAGTTCTAGTGTTTGGGAAGATGAGTAAATGTCCCGCATCCATCAGCAGTGAACCATCTCAGGCATCACATTTGAAAGCCCTGCAGGAGACAGCCGAAGGCATTCGATTCCGTGAGCACCTTGCAGCTCGAGAAAGAGCCCGAAAAGCTTTCAGTGAGGTCGACAACTCCCAAGCTCTGCGGAGGGCACTTGTTCAAAGGTCTCGACCACAAAGAACAGTGTACCATCCCGGGGACTGGATGATGGCATGGCGGAAAGACTCACAATGGTTTGGACCCCTCAAGGTCGTATTGCAAGAAGACAAGAATGTAATTTGGGCTGTACTGGGAAATCGTTTGTTTCGCATTGCACCCGAACATGCCAGACCATTGTCAGCCATGGAAGAACTAAGACATCAAAGCCTGATTCGGGACACCAACATGGACAAAACACTAGAAAACATTCGAGCTGGAAATACTCGTTTCGAAGAAATACCTAGAGGAACTCCAGAGACACTGCCTGTGAGTCCAGAAGAGCATTCGTCCAGAAACAGTGAACCCCCGTCCAATGACCAACCTGATCAAGAACCAGATCTCCCAGGAGAAAACGATCCATCGCTTCCTGGTACCGAAAACGAATATACCCCAACTGTTCCGGATGAGGAAACACAGATGGAAGCACCAGAAAATATTCCGGTCCCCGAAGACGATGATGAACTCTGGTGTGAAACGTTCAATCTTCAAGAAGATGAAATGTGGAAATTCGAAGTCGAAATCAGCCGAGAAGAGATCGACCAGTTTCGGAATTCACCGTCAGGATTCGAACATGCCTTCATTGTGTCCGCCGCAAAGAAGCAGAAAACCGAAGTCAAGATTTCAAATCTAACCAAAGATGAACGAAAGCTATTCGAAGAAGCAAAAGGCAAAGAAATCCAGAGTTGGCTGGACACTAACACTGTATGTAAAATCCTCCGTCATCAAATTCCGACAGAGAACATTCTTCGTTGCCGCTGGATCCTAACATGGAAAGACGCAGAAACGAATTCACATCTAGGAGCAGACACCAAAAAGTCTAGTTCAAGAAAAGCAAAGGCCAGGCTAGTCATCCTTGGATATCAAGATCCCAGCCTGGAACACCTAGATCGTGACTCGCCCACACTCTCCAAATTGAGTAGAAATCTGCTGTTACAAATGAGTGTTTCCATGAGGTGGACCATTGGCAGCTTCGATGTGAAAACTGCTTTCCTTCGGGGAAGTGTGGATGAAACCCGTGTCATAGGACTCGAACCGCCAGAGGAACTTCGTCAAAAGCTTGGGTTGCGACCCAATGAGGTTTGCCGTCTCCTCAAAGGTGCCTACGGCCTCGTGAATGCCCCACTGTTGTGGTACAAAGAGTTATCTAGGGCCCTAGAAGAACTGGGATTCACAGTGTCACCGTTCGATCCATGTTGCTTCATTTTGTATGCAGAAGACAACTCGCCACAAGGTTTTATCGGAATACATGTAGATGATGGCCTGTTTGCAGGAAACGAAGAGTTTCATCGACGAATCAATCTTCTCGAAAGCAAATACCCTTTTGGAAGCAGAAAAGAAAAGGATTTCGTATTCACAGGTCTCCATATTCACCAAAAGGAAGATTTCTCCATCAGGGTGGATCAAACACAGTATGTCAAAGACATTAATCACATCAGCATTCCAAAGGAAAGGAGAAGCATGCCCGATGACCCAATCACCGAAGAAGAAAGACAGAAACTCCGGGGCATCATCGGTTCATTACAATATGCATCGGTAAATACGAGACCAGATCTTGGAAGTCGCCTGAGCCATCTCCAAAGTCGAATAAACTGTGGTCAGGTTAAAGATTTGATCGAAGCCAATACATTGTTGCACGATGCCAAAGTCCACTCCCAAGTGGCAATTCGATACCAATACATCCCTCTAAAAGACATAAGATTCGTAGCGTTCTCCGATGCTTCTTTTGCGTCTGAGAAAAATCTCTCGGCCCATCAGGGCATGATGATTATGACTGCACACCAGAACATCGGCAAGAACTTCAAAAGTGCAGTAAACCCAATAATGTGGTCATCAAAGAAAATCCAAAAGGTAGCAGTAAGTACACTCTCAGCTGAGGCCATGGCACTTGCAGGAACGGTAGACCTCCTTGCTTGGTGCCGTTTGTACTGGGGATGGTTGCTTGATTGTTCATGCCAATGGAGATTAGGTGATAAGACACTACTCAAGCTTCCCCCTGCGTTCTCTGCCTTAAAGGACGAAGGTGACCTCGAAGATCCAAACGCAACACTGACAGACAACCTGATGAAATTGCAAAAGATAGGAAAACCAGATTCTTTGATTGCAACAGATTGTAAAAGCTTGTACGATCTAATCAGTCGTACAGCACCACCAGCATGTCAAGAATACAGAACATTGTTGCAGGCACGCCTGATTCGAGAACATTTGGCAACAGGAGTATCCGTTAGATGGGTACCCTCCAACGCTCAGATTGCTGACAGCCTCACGAAAATCATGGACAACACCAATCTTAGAGAAGTCCTCAATATCGGAAGATATCAACTCAAAGACGAAGAGGAGCTACTCAAGCACCGCTCCGACCGCCGATCGAGATTGGCATGGATCCGTAGCCACCAATCCCAACGAGCTGCTCCAGAGCTCACGAAAGTCTCTGAAAAAGGGAAAAGCCAAGACGTCCCTGACAGAGACCAATCCTGCTCTCCCATTAAAGCCTTGAGAGAGTAATTAAAACCAAAGTGCAAGAAAGGTGTTTCAAAACCGGTAAAGAGAAGACTAAGTTGAGAAGACAATGTCCCACATTGTTCAAGGGAAACTTGGTAGTCCGTTTTTGCATCAATGGCATTCTTGGGAAGGCACGATCGATATCTTGAGGAAAGACTGGCCCCAGTCTGAATAAGATGTAAAGCTAAAGGAACATGCTTGACAAACAAAAGAATAGAATGAATGTCAAAGGAGTCGCATGTCGCATGTTCCCATTCACTCGTCTCTCAGGAAGTTCGACCGCCGCCATTTCACTGTCAGGTGGGAGGGCAGGGTGGTTCTTGAGCCATCTCGTGGGTGTGGATCACCCCTTCGTTGCAGGGCGACGTTGAGCCGGTTGGAAGAAAGGAGCTGCGGATAAGGTTGGGCACAGGGTGCTGGTGTTTTGATAGGATCAGGGATCCTGGACATTGCTTGTTGAGGAATTCATACATTGGTTGGTTGGTTCCCCTTGGATTGATCGACCACCACCGCCAGTCTCCAACACCAGTTGCAAACCCGGGGGGGTTGTAAATATATATATATACACATATATATATATAATATTATATATGTACACCGCCCGGAGAGTTTCTGGCACAAGTCAGGGTTCCCGGGAGTGTTCCCAGATGCGCCATCAATGTATTTTTCCTCGCTATTTTGCACCTGTAGATGGCGCATTTATAGGGAGAGGGGGGTGCAAAAATGCAAACGCAAGAAAAAATGAGCTTGCAACAACGAGCGAAAAAACGCGCTATAGATGGCACAATGCACATCAGTGCAAAGCCATCCAAAGCAGTCCAAACACACTCAAGCCCATCGGTGCCCATCCTACTTTGTCTTTTACTATTTCTCCTGCTTTTCCTTTCTCTTTCTCTTTCTCTTTCTAGCACTCACCTGCTCTGCACATGCTGCCAGCATGTTATTTTCCCCAAATCCCAGCGTTTGATGCCAGATACAAGAGCTGCAGGAATCTGTACATTGACGGAGCTTTGTAAATGGCGGTATGAGCAGCCGGTGATGCCACACTGCAAAAACTTTCTTCTACCATCCATCATTTGGGATACAGTATTGTACTTGTGGGCTGGCTGCTTGGTTTTGTTTGCGTGGGTTCACTTTTGTTGAAAATGCAAACAAATGACATTTAAGGTCTACCAGTATATAGTGGCATTGTGCTCCTATATACTATTTACAGTATTCCAAATTCTTCCATGCCAAAAGGCCTCCTGCTTTTCCTTTCTCTTTCTCTTTCTCTTTCTCTTTCTCTTTCTTTCTCTCTCACAAGAGATTCAGCTATTGTAGTTCTACTTTCTAACTGGAGTATATAGATGGAGCGTGCCGTCAGGGGTCTCCGAGTACGAGGTTTTGAAGCCTAAATCTCGCCCTTTTTATACTGTCAGGATGCCTACTGATGGCGCAATTCTACTGTGGTACTTTGGCGCTCGTAGATGGCGCAATTTTCTTTTTTAAACCATCTATTTTCAAGACGGAGTATGTATACACATATATACATGTATTGGCCTCCCAACCAGGCCCATTCTTCATGTATTCTATTCCCTGCTGTCCTATCATCTCTTTTGGAGGTTTTCAAACTGTTGCGCCACTTTTGGAGCTCTGTGGAGGCTCAAGGCACAGATCGTTCGGGGAAAATCGGGGTCAACCACGTTGAAAGCCGTTTTGGTGCAAGTCACGTGCTTGTTGGTCTAGTACGTTTAGTCTTTCGTCTACATAGGAAGACCTCGTCAGTCTACTGGACATTGAGCACCTGGGCAAAGGTAAGGAACATCCAGTGAAGGGGCTCACGATACAGCAGAGTCCTAGTCCCAGGAAACCAGGTTTTGCTACTAGGATGGAGGCCATCCCTATTAGGGTGGAGGCAAACAGTTTCTTTTTCGATTTTTTGGTCCCAACGAATGACTTCCCTATCACGCTGTGCACCCATCCCCACACGCTGTTTCGCCAGGTGGCATTCCCGAAGCCAGGTCGCTGCCGGCCTCGAAGGGGTCCTGGGGCAGGGGCGGGTCTTGCGGCTTGCGGGTCGCAAGATCCATCTTTCAGAAAGCAAGAGAGCGGACCATCCGACCCTTGTTTTCGGAAAGAACCAAATGTGTTCCAGCACTTCCAAATGTCAGATGGATATTGATGCCATCCCTGGTGTTCGTTCCCATGTTCCCTCTGCCATACATATCCCTTAATTACATGCAAACCCACAATGAACGATCACATGGAACTCCCCACGACTGGTTGGGGCATCAGAAAGGGGTCCATGCCTCCAGGGTGCTCCTGGTGAAGACATGTGCGAACATGTAAAGACCAAGCAAAATGCTTGGAGTTAGCACCGTCTCCAAGCAGGTTTCGTTCCTTCCAGGGGGATTGATTGACCATTTTTTTGGTGGAAAAAACATGGCTTCAAACATGAACATGTCACAAGCTACTATACCCCCCAGGGAGCCTTGCAGGACCTCCAACCTGGTCCTGTCTGGGTAAAAAAGAATCAAAGTGGTTTTGGATGCCTTTTGCAGGCCGAAGGCAGCCTTCGGTGATCGATTTTCAGACACCAAACACACATTAATTCTTTAACCTTTTCTCCATCCTTTGTCTTGGGTCCATTTGTCTCCGTCCAAATGCGATGGCCAGTCAATCTTCCATGTGTGGAAGAAGTCACCCGTGCTTAGCCCGAAAATCCACCGGAACTGGACTGGTGGCTCTCAATCGTAGGACTAGGTGTGAGCTTTTGTGAAGTTTCTACTGGGTGGCCAAGGTTCGATTCAGCATATCATCCTAGAAGGCAGAAGTCCAAGCAGCAGGTTTATGTGTCCATTTCCGTGTTTTGCCAGCTTGGTGGGGGCAGTTTGTGGTACAATCAGAGGTGGTTGACTGGCTGGTGGCGCAAGCGGTCAAGCAGTAACGGCTGTGCGGCAATGCGAGTGGCAGGTCAGGAGTCCAATCTAATCCTGTGAATTTCTCAGACCCGATACTACTGTTCATATGAAACCCCCATATATATATATATATCCCCTAGCATTACAAGTAGGACCTACTGGACCTATTTCGATGATTTCCGTCGACCCTCGACCCGGGACCTGCCTCAATAGCAGGGCGACCAACATTCTCCACGAAGCACGGCAGCAAGGCACTGGAGCCTGGGGGTGGAGGCTCTCTGGGGCCCAGGGTGAGTCTGGACTCATATGCGAATCGTATGAGTGTGAATCGGCATAGAGGAACCCTGAACCCTGGTGGCCTTGTTTTAGCTTGGGATTTGAATTATGTATGCCCACTTTATTTGAAAATTTGCATAAAGATTCAGATGTTTTGATATGTTTTGATAACACCTCCTAAACAAACCGCTGAGACATCATAGTACAAAAATGATTGTTCTGCCACACCCAGTAGGAATGTGTTCATGTGTTGGAATGAATTGGCTTGAGGCCAGGCCCCGACCACTTGCTGCAAAGAAATTAAACATATGTATTTACTATATATGACTACATACAGTATACATATGTATGTATGCATATACAGTATTTATTATATACATATACAGTATATACATATACATATGTATTTATTATATACATATACAGTATATAACTCTGTTTGATGCAGTGATGAGGAACCGAACACATACTGAACATGCTCTCGTGCATGGTGGCAGGAGGGTGTTTCTCTATTCGTGACTCAAAAGCCTAAAAGCCGGACCCACCCATCGTTTTTTCTGTCACTGATTCTACAACAAGCAGTTGCTGTCAGTGCAAAGTTCAGCTGTGACGCGTCGGCCACAACGCACAGAGATGGCTTCACTCCATGAAAACTTGGCATAGAAGTGCATGAAGCCTGAACAATCGGGTGAATCAATGCACCGGTCTCTGCGTCTGGTCCTCCAAACCTAGTGGGCCATATGTCATATGCTCGTTCGGATTCATGACAAAGGCACTCTGCTCTACGCTTCAGCCCACAATTGCCCCACGTCGCTTTGAAAAATCCTTATTCCACACAGTTCCAAATTATGCTAATTAACATACTCAGCTGACGTGTGATACTCCATCAACCTGAAGTGTATGGGGCCTGCCGGCCGCCATTGGCCGCCTTCGTCCGTCCGAAGCTCTTCCCCTTCCCCCTCTCGGCATCGACCATCCGAGGGGACGAAGTGCCAGGAGCCCCTAGTAGCGCCCTTGCTACTAGGTTGGCTCATGTTGACTACAAGTATCACAAAGATCACGAAGACTGCGCTGGAGATCAATTTACAGTAGTCATATGTGCCCATGGGTGAACATAGAGACAAATCCCTGTGGTCATCCCAGGTCAACCTCCCCACGAACTGTCAAACTCCGAATGACGGATCATCAAGGGTTGTCATCCTCTACCTATATAGTTGAAGACACAAATCCTGCACTGTACACGCAGACCTTTTCTTGCAGACCAGAAAACCGGTCTTCCTGGATGCTTCATGGAGGGGTCTAACCACTTGGGTGTGCCTCATTTATCCTCTTATCCCCACAACCTGGTGGGGTCATGACTTGGACACCGTCCAAACTCTAGTAGCGTCCTTCTTCCTAGTAGCGATGCCCTTTGCTACTAGTAGCTTCTTGCTGCTAGTAGAAAGGCCAGGAGCTACTAGTAGCGTCCTTGCGTGCCATCCCCCACGGATCACCTTAGATGGGTGGAAGACTTGAAAAACTCTGGGCATGTTCCGCCCCCCGACCTGTCTCGAGATGTTCTGCTTTCCGGCCTTTCAGCAGCTCACCGCTGGATCCCGAAAAATCAGTCGAAGCCTTCAGGAAGCCTCGATCTGTCGCAGGGCGAAGATCCAACGATCAAACAGCACAACTACTCGCAGCGATTCGCAGCGGAGGTTCTCCCCACCCAATAGAAATCAAGATTGTAGTGAATTGATAGAAGGACCCGGTACATATACTATATTTATATGACATTAGCTTACTTCATTTTATACTATATTATATTACAATATAGAATATTATAATATATTACATTAGATATATACAGTATATAATATTATCATTTCTGGACTGTTGCTGGGGTGTGCCCAAAGGATAATGTTCATATCATGTCACATTCAATATCAAGCGTATGACGGGTCGGTCCCAGCTACACAAGACTACCAAAAGCAGGCAACACAAGGACAGACCCCTCCCAAAAGTTCAATAGACCAACGGAAACTGAAGGATCACCCCCGGTGCAGCAAAATGATCTCTAAACTCTAAACCTCTTCTGATGTTGCAAGTCTGCAGAAAACCTGAAAACCCAATCCAAGCCAATCCTCAAAACCAATATGGATCAATAGCCCTCCGATCATACTCCTGCCTAACCGCCTATCCCTCAAAAAATGCTTTTAACTCAGTGGGCACCACTCCTTTCCTTCAAAACCCAGTCGCCCAAAACCGTCCGCCCAACCGCAAACCACCCGGTCCGCCGCGAGCGTCCGGCCCAAGGGACCGAGGCCAGGTTTCAAAGCCCCGACCTCCTGACGAGGGCGACCGGCGACCGGGTCTGTCCGTGGGTGGTCCCAATGGAACGACCCCAAGGAGTTTGTTGGGGTGATTGGGCTCCGGTCAGTTTCATGCAACATCCAGTTGTCCATGTTCAGGTCCGAGAAAGCTGAAGAAACATTGAAGGGAAAAACTATGTACTGTTGCCCGGCTGAACAGATCAACGGACAATAGATGCTGTGCGTGAAAAGCTCAGCAAAAACTGTGTTGCACAAATCCTTAGGACATTCCAGGGAAGAAAAGAACTGATAGGAGCATCAAGTGATCCAGCAACCTGCCTGTTAATGTCAAAAACAGGTGTCATAGAATTGAAGAAGTTTGATCAGTCTGTCACTTCATTCCTTGTAACTTACAGTATGTATACATATTATGCTCCGTAGGACCACCTATCAACCCAGCCAGTACAGAAGCAACCAGGCCCTCTAGCAGGTTCGTTGACCCTTGCGGCAGCAGCAGCAGCAGCCTATGCTTAGGGGATCCAACACTGGACCCATCGGCGAAGTATGCGAGGTGTTGTGCTCGTTCCACTCGCAGAGGTTTGCTTCTATGGGGAGAGGGGGTGTTGGATAGGGCTTGGATCGGTCTGAGATGAGATGTGGAGATGTGTTTGCTTGCAGCCGCAGAAAGGACTTCATCTCGGGCACCCCGGTAGGCTGTGGGTCGGGTTGGCCCACCCCCTGGTTCACCCCACTTTAGTTGGAATCGGCATTGTACTCGCTACGATCGTATCAAATTAATACCAGAAAGTTTGGTTCCCAGTTCCCATGTCTTTGAACACATTTCAAGACCTTCTTCAATCGCCATAGGAAGCTTGTTCCTCCTCTGTCCCTCTTCTTTTGCTGCACCTGAAGGTAGTAGATGGCCAAAAGCATCCAGCAGTACGGAGACAAATGGCCCTTAGCAGCGTGGCTGATGCCACGATCCTGGCGTGGATCCGAAGTCATCGGAAGTAATGTATTGGGCATAGAAAGAGACCTATATTTCGTCTGTCGATCGATAGAGGTTTGTATCATAGATTGCACATTCGCAGCTTGACAGCACCACCAATGCACTGTTCTGGCAGTGTTTTTGAGTTCACCATATGGGTTGGCATCAATCCTCATCATCCCTGGCAAAACAGGTGTCCTCTACAAACGGGTGGTGCTGCACTTGCAAACCGATGTCCGTTTCTTGTTCAGCAAAATCAAAGATGTTACGATTGCCATATGTCTAACATTGACTAATTGACAGTTGACACTTGGCAAAACTTGTTATTTAGATGAATTTGGAATGAAACCCTCAACACGAGCTAGGATTCCTGCAACTAACTACATCATCCTGTCCACCACCTCTTCGATTTGACCTCCCTTTCCACCTCTCCTTTGCCCACCGCCGCACCAACCTGGTGGATGCGATCAGTCGCCCAAGATGATCCCCAATGATCCATGTATGTAACATTGACACCACTGATATCCTATGATACCATGCAAATGATGATCCAAATGATCGCAAGATACATCATAGCAACTCCTGAGTTGATCCCACAATGGATATATATATATATATACAATGATATACACAAAACTAGATGAACTGATTGGGGCTAGAGACGAGGAAACAACTAAGTTCTTTTGAAGGGATGTACTTTGCTCTCTGTGCTCTTGTGGTGACCGTCGTGACCCCAAGAGAAGGGCCCTTCAGAAAGACACGCAAAACGCTTCTCGGGTTGGCTAATCTTTCTTGAAAGAAAAAGAAACAGTCAGCTGTTCAAAAGGATAAACGATCCGACGGTACCGCTGAACAGGAGTCCCTTCCACTGCACATTTCTCTGCCATGTCGTTTCTCGTGTCAATCATAGGATTACTTCATCCCTACCACTTCTGGAGGTATGTCAACTTGATCAACTCAATATCAATGGACCCGTCGTGAAACATATCTTCAAAGAGATCCATAGAAAGGTTGTGGATTGCATGCCATCGGTACAATCTCCCACCCGGACAAACCCCAACATCGTTGACAGGGTTCAGGAATGATCACTTCGAGGTTCAGAAAACCTGTGTTAAGGGTTAAACGCATTAGCTTCGTCTTGGATACAGTTTAGCATGTGGAAGAGGTGTCGAAGAGACACCCACAAAGACCCATATGACCATATGATTGAAAGCAAGCGGTGCATTCAAATACAGTGTGCCCGATTTGCGATGTGTTGGACATGCTCAAGTGCAGTGGCCTTGGCTAAAGGCGTGTCCGCTCTTGGGGCTTCCAAAGAGTAGAGCGAGTCAAGCCTTCTGCAGGCAATCCTTCCCCACTAAATCAAAACCCGTTATACAAAGTACTTTGGTAACCAGTGACCAGTGCAAGCGTTCCACACCTTGAAATCCATTCAATCTAAAGCTGGAGAGAGCCCTTCTAAGTCTTGGATATGAATTTCAGGTGACAAGATGGGACAAAACCGCCGAGCCGGTCATTCACCCAGTTCTACTGAGCCACAGCATCAGCTGCGAGGCACAGCTGGAGTTCTTTTCACGTGCCTCGGGGGTGGCGTCGGTGAACTACACATCCCGTCGAGTGCCGCTCCACGGATGAGAAGCAGCGTGAAGAAGACGAAAGCGCAACCCGACTCCATCCAGTAGTAGTGGACACAGTCAAAAGGAATCCTCGATCAAAAGGATGATACAATGATACATGGTTGTGGTTCCAAAATAAGATGCCGAAACACCTTTGCAAAGGACAAAACATGACAAAACGACAAACACCTGCAGATCCCTGAATCGTATTTCTGAACCAGAGCCATGTTTCCGTCGGGGTCGAGGGTCATTCTGTCATGTTGAACCTCCCTTGAAACTGAGTGGGATCATTTGATTGATGTTACATGATGTTACTTTCGTGATCTTTAGTGCATCCCAGACCTATCAATCGCTGTGGGAAAGCTAGAGGACATTCCGCCAACCTAAGGTTGCAGTGCTGTTCCCAAATTCAACTCCACTCAGCCCTCGTCGAAGGTGCTTGGAAAATGGTCTCAGCACGCGCGGGGGTCGCTGCGTTCACTGCCAGGTTGAAGGGGATTCCTGCCTGGGAAGGTCAAGGTGTGTCCATCCTGAGAATGACCGAGTGCAGGTTGGATATTTGTCCTCGCATGAAAGATGGTCAATGATCAAAATGAGTTGATGCAAAAGACAATCATTACATTGTGAGTTCAGATCTTCGGTTGGTGCAAAGTTTCCACGATTTAGGGCACCTAGCTCACCTCCTAGGGTTTCATATTGTAGTCTCCCCCCGTCCAGGATTCCAATCACTCTTGTGACTTGTGGGATCTCACTCTTGGGAATCTTGGTTTGAAAGCCCCAGTAGTTAGATTTGGAATACACCGGCACATCATCCCCAAAATCAAAACGAAACCTGGCTGAGGAAATTGGACCGCACGGAATGTTCGCAACATGTTTTGGAAAACTATAGTGCAACATGTGTAGCAAACACATGTAGGCGTTCAGATCTTTCTAGACCTCTAAATCTCTCTGGATCTCAAGATCTCTGGATCTCAAGACCTCTAGAACCTCTGGATCTCTCTAGATCTCTCTGGAACCCAATGTGTCAAGAGCTCTAGACCTGCTACACCTCAAGACTTGCAGGCCTCAAGGACAACGCTGTTTGGGGTGTCTTGCTGGGATAATGGTCTATTACAGTCTATAATCCTTTTCGAGTCTACAGTAATTGTTTTCTATATACTTAGAAATTGTGTTTTCCAATCCCAAGATTCATTTGGATAAACATAGGCTTGAGCTGTTGAAGCTGTTCAAAGCCCACGCAGTGCTGTCAAAGCGCCTGGCCACTTTGCGGCGGGGAGATCAAGGTCACCTGGCGGAGCGTCGACGCGGAGGAAACACGAACTCCTGCAGCACTGCAGTTTGGTGTCGGGAAAACGGAGGCCAGGCTCCCCTAGTAGCGTCCTTGCTCCTAGTTGCGATGCCCTTTGCTCCTAGTAGCGCTCTTGTTACTAGTCGTAAGGCCAGGAGAACCGTTCGTAGCGTCCTAGTTCGTCCAGGCGCTGCAGGGAGTTGGGCAGGCGAGGATTGCAAGTTGCGAATTGGGACGACTGAGAAGGAAGAGTTTCGGCGCGGCCTGTGAAGAGAATGACATCCTTTTGGGTCCTGCTACAAAGGAATGACTTGGGTATGCTCAAGTGATCTCAAAAGGTATATCGTATGGTCAGGTCATAGATATTCCCCTTCAGCCAACTCACAACTTGAAGTCATACGGGAAGTAGATCGAATGTGGTACGTGTCAAGCATTGTGGACCATGTCCTTGTCTTGCTTGGATAGTTTATAGTGTATACCCACTATATACATCGCCCATGGTCTATCTGTTTCGAGGACGCCTTCATTGTAGGAGACATGTCGCAACTGGCCATCATAAGGATTGCTCGTCGAGTTTCTAATGGCACTGCTTGTCATTAGCTCTCCTTCCCCGACCCTGCACTTTCTTGTTCGGGCGGTCATTCAGAGAGCAAGCATCCAAGACCCGAGAAACTGCGTGGTCTCTATGCTCTGCATCTCAACTCACGATTTTACTTAAATCTCCATCTACCCGGCTCCCAAAGCTGCAACTGAACACACGCCATACTTACACATCCACACAAAATCCTTCGATCTCTTCCAAATCAAACCACGACAGTGGCACACAATGTCAATAGGGATAAAAAAAAAAACAACACAACAAAACGACAACCACAGCAACGACAACAACAGCCAGCAGCATCCACCACCCACCGTCCGACTCCGGTCTCGCTCCCGTCTTGCTCCGCCTTCGGCTCGTGGCCGCGAAAGGCGGAGCGACGAAACTTGAAGCCGCCCGTCACCAGGCGATCGGTGCCTCGGACGATTCACCGTGGAACCGGTTCAGTGGATTTGTTTTTTGGAAATATAAAGAACACAAACCATGCTAGAACCTGATTGTTTATATGGTGATATGCGTTCACAAAAAAAATCAAAAAAATATCCTGAACCTAACTGTCCTTGGGAAGACCAAGGTCTTCGTCGCAAATAATTAATCATCATCATTATATACAAACTACACCTGCACTCTTGATTGATTTCCCCGACCCCCCGGGCGATGGACACGGTCCCTCGCCGGTGTCGCTGAGTCTCCCGGTCTGGACACGTCCTCTCCAGGTCGCCCGACAGGTGCGGATCAAAGACTTCTGGTACTTCGAGGCTTCCGCCCCTGTGGCCTGGCCGAAATGCTGAATTGATTGAATAGGCTCGTTTTCAGAGGGTCCACACCATCTGAATACTTCTGCCCAACCGACGTGGGCAGAAACAGCTGTCTGGGACACAATCCTTGGACATCCTTGGACTTCCAACCTGCTGTTGCCAAGCGCAGCCAACAGCTGCGATGGATGCAGGGGCACCCAAACTCCAAACCAGAATTGCACAAAGGCAACAAAACCCACCGACGAAACCGAAGATTTACATTACAAAATAGAACGCCCTTGTGATTCTTGTGATCATTGACCTTCAACATCCTTTAGATATACTGCCGGGAATACTGCCAGGGCCCGACTACCAGACCACATTAATTGCAACCCTGCTCACCGATCGGCCCCTCGGTTGGAACATGTTGGAACAAGACCAGGTTCATCTATACCTCCAGAATTCCTTTGGTCTGAAGCTCTGTCCAGGTGATAAGATTGCTTTTCTGCCAACCCTGGGAGTCCAATGCGCCTGACGTGATGACGAAAATGGAACCGTTCGAACCTGGAGACCATGTTCTTCAACAAGCTCTTCCACTTCGATGAGGTCGTTCCAGCTGGAGGTGTCCCCGCCGGACACCGCTCAACCGTTTTGGCCATGGGGACTCAACCCAGGTCCAAAATGTGCGCAAAAACACATCAAAACATACACCATCATACACCCACGGGCCCATGTTATCTGCCGGATTGACGCCGAACGGCGCAGGTCACCTGTGTTGAAAGGACCACGATCTCCACATCAGGGACAGCCACGCCAAATGCCGTTCCAGACAAAGGGTTGGCAATGACATAGCCATCTATTTTGGCCGATGGCAAGACGGGCAAGAGCAAATCCTTCACTTTCCTGGGCATGTGCAAAGCCGAAGGCATGTAAGGCGCTCCAGTCAGCCTCCATGTGAGGCGCTTTGTTCGATAATCTGATGTTACTCAATTTCTGACTAACATCTGAGACCTGAAAACAGCACCTTACTGTGAACCGAAACTCTGTTCCTGGGAACTCCCCTTGACCGTTCAATGTTCATCTGACCTATGTTTTGCGGTATCCACAGGACGTCATTCCGGAGGTGCCAAATATCACTATTGTTGCAATGCATCAGATCTCAGATCTGATTTTAAAGTCTCAAAAGAACGTTCTTTCGTAGAAAGTGTCTATTCGCCAGTGCAGTGCAGCTCCCAGCTTCTCAAAAGGTTGTCTGACAACTCCCATGCCAAATCCAAACCATGGCCATGATGCCCCATGGATAAGGGGATTTAAGGCCTGAAAAGATGGGATCAAAGGTCCCAAGAGTTGGGATCAGTTGGGAAGGCCGTCGATCCCGCCCGATCCTCTCCTCCCGGTCGACGCACGCGCACCACAGCCGGAAGACTGAGTCGATCCCCCACAACACGGCATGTGTGTTTGCATTGTTTGGCCTACAAAGGCGCTCCTTTGAGGCCACAGCAGGCACTGACGCACTGTGTCCTGTGCCAGGCCAGGACTCTGTGTGATAGAATCCACATGGGCTCGGACGCTGCTGGTCCTTGGAAAGCATCAGAAACAGGCTTCCGCACGCTCCGAATCAAAGAGAGTGTGGTGAAGTGCAGGGTCTTTGTCCATGAGTGGCTTTGTTTGAAGTCAAAGTTGTGCCCTGACAAAGTCAATGTGTGGCCTACTTCAAAAGAAGTTTGAAGGACTACAGACTTTTGGTATCGATGCAGGCGTGAGGCACTTAAGCAACAGTCCATCTCAACCTGTGATTTCAACTGTCTCTCCCCAGCCCAGGGGCCAGGCTGGGCCAGGGATCCATCGTGACCGAAGCATGGCGCATTCTGGAATGAACTTGTTTTTCTCCAAAGGTGCTCAACCCAGGAACCTGGACCCATAGCCCGGCCCGTCCTAAGGTTACCTCCACAAAACCTTCTTAAAAAAAACATCAACGGTACTTGGTACATACAAAAAGATCATCAAAGTCTCTTCAAATCATGACAAAGACTCTCCAAAGTCTCTCTGCAGATCCCTCTGTCTAAGTCTCTCCAATCCCTGTGACTTGTGTTTTCGCACCCCTTTGGGTCGATGGTCCACGCCGGCGACGGACCACGCCCGACGTTTGTTCCAAAGGTCCTCGATCATCACGCAGCATCTCGTGTTCACGAACCAAGGGACGGATCTTTTTTGAATGGATTTAACAGTTGAACATCTAAATTGGGAGATTCTTCGGGATATTTTTGAGGTATGGACTATCGTTTGACCCTTTTGACCTGTCCTTTGCTCAGCCGCTCCGATTTCCAGGCCCACATCCAATCCACAGAGTGGTGAGGCTTCCGCTGAGCGGGTGAGTTTCATTTGGCCGAGGTGCAACACGATATTCTGCAGCAACTCCTCAGATTGGGCTGCAACATGCGATGTTTGAACTCCGAGGTGCGTAGTAAGCAAGGTGCAAACAAGAAACCGGAGTTCATTGAGGTAATGTCGACCAAACATCATTGAATCGTTCCAAGAACACAACAAGGCATCGCAAAGAGTGCTGCTATCATATATCATATATATATATATGTGTGTCTGGTGCCTAGCCATCTGCCGATGAACCACATCGAAGATTGCCACAGCAACTCCATGCAACTCCCAAACAAATGTCAAGATCCGATCAAACCAAGTGAAAGGGATGCTTCCCATGAGATATCCATGGAATTTCCCATGATTCCCACTCTCCAAATGTTGTGCAAACGGTCGCCCGTTGAACATGAGCGCACTCCCAATGGTTTCTCATGGGGACAATCGTGAGAAACCTTGGATCAGGGATGCTGGGAGGGTGCATCCCTAAATTAATGTATCTGTGGATATCTGTGGTGTTGATACCTGAAGGATAATCCCTGCAGGGAGGTGCAGGGATTCATAGCATGTTGATCTCGTATCTCATGTTCAGCCTTTCCCCATGGCTGCCATGATATCCACGGAACCACCACGATCTGCAACCTGTCTGAAAATGGCGTGTCATTACTAACGAAAAGTTGTCTATCGTGAAGTAAATCCATGTTTTTCCAAGAATCTGAGTGCTGCGACGCGGATGGAAAAAGGACATGGATCCAATCAGGAATCTCTCTCTCTCTCTCTTTCCCTCTCTCTTTAAGAGGCTATTCTTTCAGACACCCCGCTGAAACAATGTCATTGGTTACATCCTCAGCTCCCCAAAAATGGATCGTGCATCCTCAGCTGGTTGGTTTGAAACCCATGTTGCCCGTCCAGGCGCTGCAACCTCTGCGTCCCAGCCGATGGCTTGAAACTTGGGTGCCTGGAAAGAGTGGGCAGCAGGGAAGTGGTACATACTGGCTGGGGGAAATAGCTCAACTTATTGGGTTACGGAGAACGAGACGTGTTTCTTTTTTTTTTGTCGAACGGGATCAGGTCGCAAAGGCTGTCCACCTCTATCATCCAATCCGCTCAGCAAATGTCTGCTGATTGCAAATAAACCCTCCTTCGCCATGTCCCCATTGTGGCTTCCAAGACATTGTGAAAGATTGGTTGGCCTGAAGTTGGCCTGGGTGCAAAGTGTCTTTCTCCTTCACCACGTGGCATGAACACGCACATTGGAGCATCGTTGGTGGGGGGTCGGGAATGTCTTCCAACTGCAGTTGCCACTAAAGACCCTGACAACGTTGGTACACAAAGAGATATATACATATACAAGATAGATAGATAGATAGATAGATAGATTCATAGATTCATAGATAGATAGATAGATAGATAGATAGATAGATAGATAGATCGATCGATCGATCGATAGATAGATAGATAGAACACAATGGACTTAACCCACTATAATCTTCCCCAGTAGGAAGAGATCCAGATCGCTGATCGTTGATCACATCAGCCAAAGTGTTTGAGTCAGGAAATGCTTTCCTTACTTTCCTTATTGAACCCCCCGCCCCCAAGCCCCTGCACCCTCCGCGCCACCCGGTCACCGCGTGCGTTGCCTCACCTGGACTGGGACGACACTGGGTTTCTTCACTTCTTTGGGCCGTCGTTCTACACGCTCGGCGTTCTCCTGGACCGGAATTGCGGCAAAGCTCCGGTGCAAATGAGAAGTTGGAGAGCCCACATCCAGTCGTCTTTCGAAGTCAGGAGGAGACCCTTTCCAGATTGAAACTTTGACCCTGCTCTCCTTCTCCATCTTCTCCTCAGCACCTGGAGGAGTCAAAGAAAGTAACGCCAGTAAATCAAGCTTCGAGACCAGATAACTTGACTATCCTGGCTGATGATTGAGTGCTACCTCATGGTGGTGCCCAAACATAGCAAACTGTTTATGTGCAACTAGTAACTAAAGCATGAGTCATCATGAATCATTCCAAACATGGACTGTTGAGTAGTCTTTGTTGAGAATGTCTTTTGCACCACATATCAGAGCTCGAGATCTCCCTTGGTTCAACGTGTCCTCAACGCCAAATTATGACGAGACCTGCATCTGAGTCATGTTTGCACGTCGTCATCAGCCTAAAGAACAATGGATATGTTTGGTATACGGTATCCAGAGTGTTCGTTTCAAACGGCGGGACAGTCAACCATGCTTGTAGGCAAATGCTGAAATGGTCAGTCAACCCCTGGGAAAGAGTATCGATAAATCGATCCGTCAGAATCAGTGATTGCTAGGTCACTCTGAAGCTTAGAACAACGACAAACGTTCACCATTAAAAAGGCCTTCTGCATTGATCGAAGGACTCTACATAGAGCTTAGCAAAACCGGATAGGAACGCGAAAGATCCTAGCATCCTGTCAGGAGGATTGATGACAACGCCCATCACACTTTCAGCCTGCGTAACCCAACCAGAAGTGTTCACAATGTTGCCAGCGTCCAATTCAAAACATCCATGCTTGCCCGCAGTGCTCAAACATCAAAATGAAATGAAGATCACATGACAGGATCTTCGCCGGCGCCTACGCCGGAGCCAGCGGAGCCAGCGGAGCGTCGCACCGGTTTCTTGACCTCCAAGTGACGACACCGGGATTGGCAGGTGCGCAGATGCCAAAAGAATACGTATCTTTTAGGTTTGTGATTGAAATACTCACCCCAAAAGACAGTATATTACACGGAGTTTAAAGTCTGCCGGGACAACCCTCTCCAAGTAGGACAAGATATTTATGTATCGATTAACTTGCACATCACTTGCTCTTCCCAAACAACCTTGAGACAGGGACGACTTGAAGTAGAGAGTGAAACTAGCTTAAACGACCTTTTCCCATCGAAACCGACCCAACCGACCCCAGAAAAAGCATCGGTCCAAAGTCTCTCGAAATGGACTAGAAACGGACAATGATGTGCAAACATGTCCAACATGTGCAAACAAATTCAGAGATCCCTATCTTTAATCTATTTTCAGCTGTTCATCTTCACAGCCTCTCATCTTTCCTCCGTACACATCGTCGCACAGATCGCTCGACCCACAGGTCGCTCGGGCCGGCACCTCCAGCAGCTCGGACCGCCGGCGCACCGAGGGCTCAAGCTGTTGAAGGAACATGTACCCCGCCTTGGACGGACAGGTGAAGCAGCATCCACTCGCCGTGCCATGCTTCGTGCCCAGGAAGAAGCGAAGTGAAGCCCATGGACGTAGATGATATATGATGATGTTGTGATCCCGAACAAACTATGAGTGTCCACGCTTCAGGAGTTCCATCTTGGCTTTTGAGGGATTCTAGAGAGTGGGTCACGAGACTATACAGTAGCAGCACGTGGAACCAAGTTTTGTTTTGCGATCACGTCGCGCTTTCGAACCTCTCTCGGCACCACACATGAAACCACTTCAAAGTCTTTGATTCATGTTATATCAACTTGTATATTTAGTATATTTCCCTGGGCATACAGCCTTTTTGCCAATATTCACTTACCTTTTGTTGTTCCAAGGATATGAATGTCTTCGAGGCAGCTTATCTGTGTGCCTTCAGTCTCACGATGCATCAAGGCTGAGGTTCAGACTGCCCCCAACACCATTGCAAGAAGGTGGTGGATCTCCAGGGGCAACACAGCGGTCAGGATGCCCTCACTGTGCTTGCGTACCACTCGAAAAACGCGCAGAAACACTTGCATGCGGAAGCGTGTGCTGGGTTGATTGCTCTTTGGAGTAGCTGAAGGAGATTAAGGTCCAAGATCCTAAGTTTGGTCTTAAAGAGCTTGGGGAGTTTGTTTGGTTTTCAAAACAAATCTTGGGGTTTTGCTACCGGGCCAGGGTGTTTGTTTGCTGAATGTGGTGGGTCCGTGACCGTTTTTCATAGATGCCACTGTATGCCACTGTCATCCTTTTATGTCCTTTTCACAAAAGTATCAAACATCTGATATGTGGTTGAGCTGTTTGAGTATACCAATGCTAGCCAAGGATTTTGAAATTTGCTTGGCAAGACACAAAGTGTTCCAAGTGCGTGGATTGGAATAAGGACCAGGGATGCCAGGGAGAGGCTTTGTGCTCTGAGACCCTGGTTTGTCGATGAGACATTGAAAATTGAAACGAAAAAAACAAATCACTTAAATGTCATGTCCAATTTCCGCAGCTGGACATCGATCCCTCATTCGGACAGCACTGGGGCCCGAAGCCGCCAAAATGATGCACTGGGTACGGAGGTCGGCCTCGAAGCCGAAGTGACCTCGAAGTTGAAGGACCAAGGTGACCAAGGTCCAATGAAAAAAAGGATAGTCGGCCCGAAGGAGCAAACGGTTTTCACAGTGAAAGGCACAGTTGCTCCTCTCCCTCCCTCCCTGCCTGCCTGCCCCTGTCTGCCTGCCTGTCTGTCCTGTGAAACCCCAGACTTGTCAACAGCTTGACTCAGCTTGTCAAGCGACTTCTCGACTCTGAACATTCAGGTGATGCCCTTTGCTTTGGTCAACCTCTCTCATCACTCCTTGTTGGATCTCCTAAAAAATGCTCTGAAACCCTTGGAGGTCTTGGCATGCATACAGAACAAGTCAATTTCACGGACTCCGTAACGACCCCTTTTTCTTGCAGCTTCTGAGCTCGTGCTATTCATTGTTTGATCCATGCGGCTCCGATAAAAAAGGGTCCCGAGATGGAGAGCTCATGCTATTTCCCCTTTCGCCATGATCTGGCTTTGATGATTTCAAATCGAAAAGCCAACACAACCACCAGAGAGGACATCACATGATTCACACAGTTCACACAATGGTTACAAAATGCTTTTAAAAAAATGAATTCACCTCTCTCAAACACGATGGTTAAATTCCGAGTTTTGCCCCGCGAGGCCGGATCTGCCACGTGCGAGAGGCCCACAGAATTTTCGACACGCAGGTGCAGATGCGTGTCGTAAGGCCATACAGAATTGACAACGGTTCCTCCATATAAATCGTAAAAGCACGCGTCATCGAACAAATGGCTGACCCTGTCAATTCCGTGACATGCTGATGTTAATCTGAGGGACGTAGCATGCTGCGGATGTCGAGTTGCATACCTGGGACACAAGTGATGACATGTCTACCACAGCTGAGAGGGACATGATTGGGGATTCTTGGGTCTGTCCTATGCTCAAAGAATATTTACGTATATGGATGGAGACGGGAATGAATCCACAATAGCATTCGGCATAGGATTCGAATTCACCCCAAGTATTTTCCGGCAGAGCACCCCGCATTGTCAATTCAAAGCTGGATCCTATAAAGGTCTGGTGCTTGCGAAGCAGACCTTAGGTCTTTGGAGGCGTAGAGTGTCCAATCTCCCTGCAACGGGGGTCGTTGATCTCTGAATATGTCATAATATGTCTGAATATGTCTGAAAATCACTGAACGTCTGACAGACCCAAACGACTTGTTCCCACCTGTTCATATGTAGTAGGAGAATTCCTGCTGATCATCTGAGGCATCTGATTCATGAGGGGCGTCCACATTGTTCGGCCGGTCTGGTCAGGCCAAGATGCTGGGATTTAAAGATAGGCAATGGCCTTGATCAGAGACTGGGCCTGGCGCCGTGATGCGGCTAAAGACAAACGATTCCTGCAACATGTGGTGAGTTGCTGAGGAATATCTACATGGATAATCCCAGCTACACTGGCAAGCACAACCTCATCATCTACAAAATGACTTGTTTCCTGGAAAGGAAGAGTCAGAAGAGTCCTTTGGTTCCCCTTTGTCACACCCACCAAAACAATCACTGTTGCATGTTCTCTGTCTTTTGACTTGCTGTCAGCTCTCCTTGAAGTTTCAAAACAAGTTTTAAAGAGAGCTTCTTCTCGATTCTTTCCCTGGTCATTCTGCTGACCACTAAAATAGGCCCGGAACAAGAAGTAGCATCCTTTCGGGTCTTTCGGTCAAACTGGCGTCACATGTTCCACCTTTTGATTGTGTGTGGGTGCGGGGTGCCTTGAGACACCTGCAATCTGCCTCAAATCAACAGCCTACATCTTTTTATGCTGACCGCTGGTCATCAAACCGTCCAAACCCCAAGAGAAGCTTGCAATTTATCTGTTAAAGCAAAATCTGAACTTCATCAGTTCATCGGGCTCATCTTGTCGAAACTTGGCCAGTGAATGCCAGTGAAAGGACATGCACCCGCTGAAGAGATTCACCGAAATCCGTAATTCCCCCAACAGCAACAGGGAAATTCCAACGCTCGACACCGGCTAGGACTCGCCATCAACAATAGCATTTGACCTGCCTGTCACCACCTGCAGCCCTCGGCCAATTTGTTCCCCACCGACCCCCCGGTGGCCTCTGCGGATATTTGAGGTTCAATACCGAGGGTGTCGATTCAGTACCGGGTGTTGGTTGTCCTGGTCTGTATTTCTCGCTCGATCCGAGAGATACATGCGATGCTCCGTGCCATGGGCCATGGTGTTCAGCACTGCCAGGATCACCTTTCAAAAGGTTACGCCGCCAAATCCAAAACAGAACGGTCTACAACGGTAGCCACGTACTAGTAGCTACACGCTGCAGGACTGTTGTTGCAGTGACAAAACATGCTCTTTTTTAACGGTGCTTCGCTGACTCACACATGTTTCACATCTTTTCACCGTGTAGGGGTCAAAGCATGCAGTGAGCCAATCGCCCACATACCAGCCCCGCGGACGACCATCGACCACGCGAGGCTTCGTCATCAAAGATCAAAGAGAATTGGTGCATGCCCAAACTGAAAGCAGGGTAGATAAAGTTCTGGCCTACCATTCTTGTTGGTGTTGGGCTACATGAAGGCACGCCTGGCAAGGTCATCCACCAGGAACATGAATCTTGGGCGCTGAACTTGGAGCGGGCTATACCTGTGTAATTAGTATGTTTATCAGTCAAGCACATCAGGAGCACTCCGAATCCCCCCAAAACCATGTATAGGCAATCAATGATCACAAAGCCTCGGGGTTTTGCCGTCCGGAGTCCGAATTCGTCGACATCAGGGACCTCTGCCTAAGGCCAAAGAACATACGGAAGGCGTCTAGATTCATTTTATTTAGATATTGGATGTTGGTCTCATGAGTGGGTACCCACGGTCCCACAAAAAAAAATCAAAGGTGGCAAATGTGAATTTTGACAAGTACGGAACCTGAAACTAGGACGTTGGGACACCTCAGTTCTTCACACATTCCAATTCCAATGTGCTATGGGCAGTTAAATTTTAGCAATCCCAGATCCCAAATTGAAAACAGGTCGGAGCATGATTGGAACAGCCAAGGCATGCCAAGGCAATGGCCATCTATGGTACCGATGTCAGAACATGCAAAAACTATGGACAAATCTCTTTCAATTTCTTGTTCAATCCCTGACTGTCTCGTGCCATCAGCCCAGCTGGAATGGCGCTCGCAATCTCTGAAGGTGACGAGCAGTAGGCGGGCTGATGGCTTCAAATGCTTTGGATATAACCGCATGAGGCCTGGGTCCAATCGTCATCGCGAGCCTCTGCTCTCAAAAGTTAGTTTTTTGGAAATACAAAAAAGATAAAGCGGGTAGAGTTCACTGTGTTTTTTGGATGTGGGGTATCAAAAAGCATCGCAAATTGTATAAACACAAGAAATCAAAACAATACCTTGCCATCTGGCACCCCAGGAGCAAGAGCACATGATTGAAGAGCCTGTCTATTATATGTTTCTGAACACAGTCTCAGAAAACGAATGGAAGCAGTTCGTGGGTCTTGGATTCTCTTGGTTCGCTCGCCCGTGCCATGTAGCATGTAGCACGCACGACCGCGCATGGTTCCTTCCGCGTAGCACTACAATATATCGTATAGTTTTACGTGGGTCGGGGCAACGTTTTTAGCTCTTGGCACTACATCCAAGTTTGGCCATAACTTGTGTCTGACACATATAATTGAATAGTTTCAGTATATTATCCCCCGACCCCGGTCTAGGACGATGAACGTGAGCGTAAGCGGAGCGGCGCGACGTCACTGTGATGTCGCATTACCACAAATCTGCCAAAAATCCGCCTACATACACTGTATGTATATATATATATATTTATACACACATCATTCAACCTCTGCAGGAAAAACACGCGGCATTTACAAGGTTTTTTGCTGTAAATACTGATGCTGTTGAACGGCAAGCCAAAACAAGGTTTTTCAGGACGCCAAAGATAACGATATTTACTGATGCTTTTTGCTTTGGGAGCAAGAAATAAACAATGGTTTTTACAGTGTGTTTTACTTTTCTGGTGCCCAAAGCATCGGTATCGACGCAGTTTTCAGCATGTTCCTGGGTTCTTGGGGTCGGCCGTGCGCACTAGCCGCTCATACATAATATATATAATCTCTACTTACTTAATTAAAATATATGTATGGTTTCTAATAGCTTCTTGTTACTACTAGTAAGGCACTTGCTCCTAGTAGCGATGCCAGGAGCCCCTAGTAGCTTCTTGTTAGGACATATATACCCAGTATATGTTCATTCCACAGGATCAGGCCTTGGGACGAATTTGCGGGCATGATGCGCTCAAGGAAGGGATCGTTGGAGCGCCATGGTTTTCCAAAACTCTTCAACCTTTCTTGCTGTGCTTTCATGTGCCTGAAAGATCTGTGCTATACTTTAATTAACTAATTCAATTATTGTACGAATATATATAACAGGTATGGTTCAATTATATTCAGATAAGAAATAGCTTCTCATGAGTCTCCTGAATACTCTGAACACCCTTCATCCCCGTTCTCCTTGTTTTTGGACCCAACCTCAACATCCACGTCGCCACGTCAGCGCCGCCACGTGTTGGCGCGCATTGCTCGCACTGCCCAGCGGGTAACTAGTCGGCAGGCGTGCAAACGGTCGTCACCGGGCATCCGCCGCGTCAAAGGCAACCTACGCGCCGACATCGAGGACGAAATGAATTGTCCAATGACCAATGCGGCCTGAGTCCTGAGTGGTGGAACTCCCTTAGCTGAAAGAATGGGTCAGAATCTTCTAAATCATCATCCGTTCAGATTGCTTCGATCCATCAGGAAACTTTCTGCATGACAAATCCTGACAACTTCTTTTGGGCATATGACAAAATTGTGTGCAGCAAGCAAAAACCTACTCATGTTCGAAGAGAACTTGTCCGTCAACAGGTCCGAATGGCAACTTGGTCGCTGTTGGATGGGTTACTAGAAGCTTCTGTGGGAATCATTTCACTGGGAATCGTTTCACCTGTAGTAACAGGAAAGCTTTTTAGTATGTCTTTGAAGCTTCTTGGTAACAAGAAGCTACTAGGTTGGAGGGGGTGGATGGCTGGGCAGCTTCCCCTTCGGCCCTTCGCCTGACTTAAGCTGCGGCCTGCGGCTGTGCATTGGTGGAGGCAAAAATGCCTGGCCAGTCGGACTGTCCGGAGCTAGTCCTCCAAAGGTTGGATATTCAAAGAAGGCGCGCATAAAGTTAGTGTCAAGTATATAGTATATTCAAGTGAACCGCAGGGATTCCTTGCCCAAACCCACAAATGCAATGTATCCATAATTATAGATGTGATTATATAGTTGGTGGGTCGTGCGCGTGATCATACTGGCTGAAGATCAGAAACTGCTGGAAGCGGATGTGAGGATTATCGGTTGCATGTGTTTGTGGTCATAGTGTCTATGCTACGGCTGTTCTACTTGTCTATCACTGCCAACACCGCCATGCCTCCTCTCTGATACCCTTTTTGCTGTCATCAAGGTCTTTGGAAGTGTTAACCTCACCCCTATAGCGGGCGGGCTTGACTCCAGATCCCAGCTCTGTTGTCGGCAACAGATGGCTGGGTCGAAATGTAACAATAGACGGGTTGGCCTGGCAGGCCCTGTACATGAACCCTGAAACATAATGAGCTTAGAAACATCCATTGGCTCGGAACTCTCACCTACTCACACACAGAAAGGCTGGAAATTCACAGGCAGCTGCGCAAGGCAAGCCACCGCTCACATTAGCAGAATTTGGGCGAGCCAAATTCCTTGCTGAGAATTACTAGATTCCTCGTGAGTCTTGACTCGCATGGGGCGCATCGTCCCTCATGATGTGTCCTCAGTTGCTGGTCCGAGCTGCACTGAACTTTTCAATGTGGTTGACCTGTTTTGGTTCTGATGCGGAACCGGAAAACTCTTTTGGTACGCAATGAAGGGGCACCGGTATTGTTCCAAACGCCCACTTGGTCAGATTTCAGATGCGGTAAAGCTCCACTGCTGTTGATCGCCTGCTAAAAGTTAACCCCTTTGTGCTGCACCTCCGAAACTCGTGTTCTTCCAACCAGCACAAATCCTACAGTTTCAATCTTCGCGGTCTTCGCAGCCATCCACCAGCAATCCATGTCCTACCGTTCACACTACCCGTTCACAGTGCTCTACCCTTCACACGAACCAAGGCGCCCTACTTCAGCGACATGGGCGAGTCAGGCTCGTCCACTCGCTGCCGCTTCTGCCCCTTTCGCACCTGGAAGTCCCAGTCCACCTGGGACCGCCGACCGGTGCGGCCGGTGGCAGGAGCGCCCCGTTCTTCTTGTAGCGATGCTTTTTGCCCCGTTCGTAGCGTCCGATCGCTCCTAGTAGCGATGCACTTGCTCCTAGTAGCAAACATTGCTCCTAGTAGTAAGGCCAGGAGCCCCTAGTAGCGTCTTTGCTCCTAGTAGCGATGCCAGGAGCCCCGTTCGTAGCTTCTTGTTCCTGACTGGTGGATTCCGCCCTTTGGGCTATGGCCATCTATGGTCATCTATGGCCCAGGTTGGGCTCAGAAAGTTTCTCACCGAACCGAACCTACCAGGTTAACGGCACAACTTGGTCGACCAGCGCATTTGAAGGGTTTATGCCAAACCTTTGAGCCATAGCCACTTCATGTTGAAAAATTGCTTTTTGGACATCAGAGGGCATCTACTGTATCTCCCAATCTGAAGGTCATTCACGAAATGCCGCTGCCAGGGCCGAAGATCGTCTTCAAAAGGTCCATGGGCCCGAGTGTTACGTGTAGATTAGTATGGGTGTGTATGCGTACTCGAAAACGCAGGCCTCCAAAGACCCCGGATAAAACTGAAACCCATTATTGGGTCCTAGGTTGGGGGTCTCACTGTTACAATACAAACCCAATACAAACCCATATGGGTGTGTGAATCGAAAAAAATTAGACGTCCCAGTTCGACCCCCCAGCAAGAAGGGAAGTTGACCAGTCTACCCATTGGGCCAGGGGTCTCGCTAGTAAAATACACACCCACATGGAACCCCAAAGCTTCAATGCAAATCCAAAATGGCACCAGGGAAGAAAGGAAACACCAAACCAAAGAAAGGGATGTCAAAGCCATGCCCAACTCACGCCATCTCACTGCTACAGAGGCACATAATATCAGCTAACTTGGAACTAAATTGAAATAAACAAATCTCACACGTGCCTAACCAACCGACTTGCACCCAACTGGCCCACTTAGGAATCAAACCAAAAATGGTCGTCAACCTGCGTTGGTGGTCCTCTGCCAGGTCCCAGTCACCAAATTCTACCTGTGAGTCGGACAGAAACTGTGAGCGCTCTGAGCACTCAAAGCTTTTTCTATTGACTTTCCGGTGACAACGAGCGCCCAAAGCACCCCTCTGCACCACCGGGCGCCCAATTGAACCGCGCCTTGCCGTTGCGCATGGCCCGGTCCACGTAGACCACGCTGCCCGCGGTCAAGCTGTCGTCCAAGATCATGGTACTAAGCCTTCAACGCCGCAACGCCACGCCCGTGGCTGTGTGGTAGCCTTCCTTCAAACCTCTAAGTGAAGTGGTGAAAAGATGAAATTGATATCCCACAAGTGAAGGCATCTCCTTTCAATTACTTTTTGTTGATTTCACATATATATATAATATATATATATGATTCCACAACTATCATAACAGCTATCATCCAGAGACGCCACACCATCTCTTGCAGGCCATAAGTTACGGCCACGCGCGCGCTGCGCCATGCGCCCCCTTTGTGCCCGCTGTGTCGTGCACCTGGACACCAAATGACGCTCCAGGTACCTCTTCAATGGGCGCGCGCCCAGCTCGGGATCGTGTGCCTCCTGTTCACAGCATGCAGGAGTGGAAGTATGACTTCTTCTTCCGGACATGGAGAGCCAACATCAAGAAGAAGGTGCAGCTTGCTGGGTCAGATCTGCAAATGCTATTGCCACTGTAGCCACCGGCCGTCCAATTAAAAGACCTTGGCCCTTGATCATTGATTCATTGATTAAACTATGAATACCTGAGTTCCTCCTTCTACCCATATCTGTCGACAGTCTTCATTCTGGTGTTCGATCTGTGGATTCACCAAGGTCAGAGCAAATGTCGTGGGGATCCTCGGCCGTGCCTTGAGGACAAAGTCGATGGCCGCATCGCTGACCTGGCACAAATGGTGGATCCTGTTCTCAGTTCTCATTTCTCCCGGAAAAGTCGCTGTTCGAGTTCTTTGGTCTCCTCCGTGGTCACGCTGAAGAAAAGGTAAAAATTTGAGCACAAACATGGTTGTGATTTTTCCAAATGGTTAAAACTGACTCTATCTGATTTTAATTGACTTTAAGTATATAGTTAATCTCGCTCTTCAAAGTAGCTTAATGACATCATTCAAGTGGTGGCCGATGGTTCAAAGCCCTCCATGACCACCTGCCCTCCCATGAACTCATATAGCAATCACCTGTGGAAAGGGAAAATACCACAAAAAGTCTTGTATGGGGTGCTGAATTGGAAACTTATGGCCCCACTATCAGCTCCAAGCTCCCCAAGAGAGTAATCTGGATCAATCCTGGCTCCGTGGATAGTGGATAAAGCCCAGATTCTGCAAAAACTTGTGACGGTCCTTGATGGTCTTGCATGACATCCTTTTACTAAAAAAAGTAAAAACATAAAAACTCCCAAAAGTAGTCCAACATCATTGCATAACGGTCACAAGACTGGTGTCACAATCCCGACTATGTCGAGGAACAGTGCATGTGGAGCCCATGCTCCAGATGGACCATCCTGGTCGTGAGTGAATTGTCCGACATGGCTTGGTTGTGAAGATTTCCAAGCCATGTCTTTTTGAGTAGAAGATCTGGGTGATCTTTCTTTCCTTGTCACCAAGCAGGCTCGTCTTTCCTCATCACATCTACTGATCACCTTTCCATCGTCTCGTCGCTCCGTCTCACCACATCTGTCTCGCTCTCCGTAGCGCTCCCACGGGGCCCCGAACGTGCATGGTGACCTCCAATTCCTCCAAGCGCTTCAAGACATCTGCCAGCTGCAGGCGCACCACCTCAAGAGTCGAGGAACTCAAAATGGTGGATGCGGCCTCCATGTGGATGCGGTCTTGGGAGCCCTACGTACTATTCCTTGGCTCCTTCCACCACAAGCTCGGCCTACTAGTAGGAAGGCTCGGTTTTCTCAGGGAGAGGCCTCTGAGGATTTGTTTCAATATGTTTCAATCAAGCTACAGGACTTGCACTCCGATCTGATTGATCTGATCTTGACTTGAACCCTCCAAAAAAATAAAAATAGAACAAACGCCAGACCAATCAATGTGAACGGTCAGGCCTGGCGCAGTGTGGAACCACTCAAGGGCTGGAAGACCACGATGTCGTCCAAGCGATTCAGCAGCTCTGGCCGCAAGGAGCGGCGGATGCTCTGCATCACTAGTCCCTGGAGGCGACCAGCCGGACACAAGTGCGGCTCGTCCGCTTTCCAGCCAGACACGCTTTCGTGGCTTTGGGATGTGCTTGTGGAAAGTGTCGTGTGGGTTTCACGATGTTTCATGTGTCTAATGTGGCTTACATTGGAGTGGTTTTCGGCGGTTGAGCCAGTCTAGGGTCTAGGGGAAAAGTTCTTAGATGGCTTGGGATCCAAGGCCGGGTCATCTGCTGACGTCTGACAATGCGGATGAGCTGATATTATGAACTCATGCTGGAAATACACCGCAGAAAGTCGTAGAAAGCATTCAAAGATCTTCAGACAATACCAAGCACATCAAAGCAGAATCATGTTTGCCTTTTTAACCCCCCAAGTTCTCAAAGGCGGGATTAGGTAATTTGGGGTCGTAGCTGCTTAATCTAACCTTGGTGATACGAGTACGACTGGAATGAATCCCCATGTAACACTGAACTTGTCCACTTGCAATGGTCCTTGGCTCGCTCCAGTTCTGAAGGATTGCCTGGCGGGGAAGAGGTCAAAAGCAAGAGATCTAGTCTAGCGGAATCATCCCAGCAACACTTGGTCAGTGATTGGATAGTAAACACATGTACCTCGTTCACTTGTGGGCCCTTGTAAGTGCTTGGGACAATCAATCAAATTCATAGCCCAAGCATGCCTAAGCAACACTACTTAAAAGTCATTGGAACAGTTTCTGCCTGAATTCTTGGTTCTTGGGTTGTGCTTCACCTTCTTGGGCGATCAAGGCGCAACTGTTCACCATTTCCAGGGCTACTGACCACTCTTGTGGTGAAAACACGTTGGAATGAATGCTCTCCGTGTTTTTGTAGGCCTGGTGCAGGAAACTGCGACCTGCTCCTCAAATTGCGGAGGAATCATTAGGAATCTTATGAATCAAGGAGCAAAAGTCTGCATCGGTCTAACCGAGTACCAAGAAAAAGAAAACTACTATATACATATGAATATACAAATACATCTAGTATCATCTAGTTGTTGTTTAAAAAGAAAGTCACAAATGTTAGGTATACACGTCAAGACACTAACAAATGTTTGTACATAAGTGGATCAGATAAAATAAAATAGGAACACATATAAACATAAGGTAAAAAAAAAAAAAATATATATATATATATATATATCGCTGAGCCATGATCAAAACTTCCCCAAAAAAGAGCTTGCTGTCTGCTGCATCTGGCAGCTCCATCACACGGTCGGTCGGTCTCCGCTCCGGCGCTCACTTCGCCTGTGCCCAGTGCTCGCATGAGGTGCTCAGAGCCGAGGTTAGAGGTCAAAATCACCACACAATTGCCTCACTGACGGACAAAGTGGACCACACGGTGTGAGAATGACCGCTTGAACCCACATGAAGGCATGCTGAAGTGAGAAATGGAATGCAACCCCCGGCTTGGAATCAGCTAGGATGCTGCAGTCCACAGTTCGGCCCTGGCTGTCGGTGATTCGTCCATCGTCCAAAAGCTGCAGCAAGACATTCAGGACCTGCAGCCGAGGACAAAGAGATCCGTCGAAGATTCGGAGAGCTTTGGAGGCCTGCCCAAGAGGGGATACGTGAGTGTCCAAGACAAGCGCTCACCCACGGATAGATAAAGGAAATCATCAGAAAGTCCTTGAATCTGTACATGGTCCCCACAAACATGCACCCCTGCCACTTCGCAGGCCAAGCGGCATGACTTTTGATGAGATGTTTATGAGATTCTTGAGCGACTAGGGAGGCGAACGCGGCAGCGAGGGTCGACCCTCACGTGGAGGAGTTGGAACGCATGGACTCTTCGCACCACGAGGCACTGCAGCTGAGGCACTTGTGGATGTGCCTTCTCCATCTCATCAAAGAGCACCACGCTATATGGGTGCCGCCTGAAGACGAGGTCATGCCGCGGAAATGGCCAGTGTGCTCATGTGTGCTCATGTTCTTTGTGGGTCAAGACTCAACCTACAACCTACAACAATCTACAACAGAAAACTAAACTGCAATACATGTAGTAGGTAAAGGTGAAGTAGGCAGTTATTGAATTACAAAATACAGTAGGTGAATCTTGATGTTGCTATTTTTCAGTAGGTAAAGGTCTAGCTAGATGATTCACTTCATGTTCGGGTATTCATGAATCTGGTGTGTCCACATCATCTTCTGATGCGAAAAAACAAAAAAAACCAATGGTCAGATGTGGTCAATACTTCTGCAAGGTGTTGATCCCACAACCACCGGACTACTGATTGTGGACAAAAAGGCAATTTAAAAAATTGAAACATATTGGAAAAGCCTTTGTAGCCGTTGTCTCTTTTTGCCCGCGCGGCGCTACCGTGGAGGCCTTAAGACACAAAACCACCATGAACCGAAGACCATAACCCCCGTAACTGGCAGGCATTCTCGAAGATCGAACTTCGGCAGTGTTTGGGTGGTGATCCTCTTACCAGTACAGTAGCTCTTTACTACAGGACAATCACTCTTATATACTACAAGATTGCTGCTTACAGTAAAAGTAATGGTTCGTTTTCTCACTGCGTCACACGTGTCCATTGTCCATTGAATTCCTGACTCAAAAAGCTCTTTGCTCACTCTAGGCCCTGGGCTTCTTCAAACCTCTTCTTTCATCACCACACGCGCCATTCGGCGTCCGCACCTCAAGGCTTCTGTGAGCTGTCCTCCCTGCTCATGACCCACATAGCCCGGAGGTGCGCCAATAAGGCGTGAGACAGCGTGCTGCTCCATGTATTCTGACATGTCGAAGCGTAGAATGCCTTGGATGTTGGATGTGGGCATCCAAGGTCGAAGCTCTCCTGCAAAAAATCAGCTGAAGTACGCGTCGAGTGGGGGAGTAGTCCTTGACACTTTAACAGCTATGAATTTGACGGCCATGAATTTGCATCTATCCACTTACAAGTTCCAGTGATTGACCCACCCTGGAATCTGTCTCTTGCAATGTCAGGAGGTTCAGCCACCTGACCCCTGAGCCTCAGTTTTTCTAAACGTTTTCTCACTGATCACATAGTTGGCCCACTTTTCGCTGGCGGCTTCCGGCACCGGGTGAAGCCCAGCTGCGGTTCTCATTGTCGAAGAGCTCCGCCGCCAGTGCCTTGGCCAGCTCAGTCTTGCCCACGCCCGTGGGGCCCGCGAAAAGGAAGGAGCCTCGCCGCTGGAGAGGGAGACATCACGACGTGAGGAGACCGGGAAACGCGGAGGCAGAAAGCGGTGTTACAACCCTCGGGTCTGGGGGCCTCCGTGTCAAAACGTCGGCAACTTAGAGGTGACGAGGGGCGAAACCATCTCCTGTGGCTTCCTTCACTAGTCTAATATCAATATGTTTGAAGCGACAACTTCTTTTTTCGGGTTGGTGCTCCAGGTGGTAAGGGTGACGTGGGGGCTCTGTTTTGGGAGGAGAAAAAGGACTGCTGTAACCTGGTTCCTGTGGAGCCATCTCTCTATTTAAGCATCTTTACACAAAAAGATCAAAAAGGGTTGGTTTGGTCCCAGTTCCTTGAACTCTAGTCAAGTTGAAACCTATAGGAACCATATAGAGCCATCCTATCTCGTCCATCTTCCTAATTGGAACCTTATCGATCCTTGTGGGTCTTCATGTAACCTTACAATCCCCCCCCCACCTACTAGCGATGGCCTCCTTAATCCCCATGGCGGTCCCTCCGGTCGACGCCTGTCGGCTGCGTGCGGCGACTCAGCCGCGCCGCCGAGCGCAGCACTGCACGGCTCACCGCCTCGGCGGCCTCCTGCGACGCGGCTGCAGGAATGAACCAAGAAACAACTATCCTCGGCTCAAAAAGCAAACGATATGGGGTTGGAGGATAACACATTTGTGTTATTGTTTTGATTTGCTTTATGAACTGAAGAACTGGACAACCAAATGTCGGTGCATGTCCCTACATGTCCTGTTGTTTCAGGGAAAAGAACTCAAAAGAACCTCCAAATATGTAGAGCTTTGTTGGCTGTTTGGGGGTAGCAAAAGCAGCAGGGAGAAGACATGAGTGTTGGGACCCTATGCCTGGCAATTGGATTCCGATTGAGAGGTGAAACCCTCTGATAGGCCCGATGGGTCAGGGTCTCGAATCGGCATCGATTTAAAAGGTTGCCTTTGTGACCAGCAAATGCTGTCTTCTGTTCAGATATGGGTACTCCCATTTTGCTGCAACAGCACGGTATGTTCCTGCAGCAAAACCCAGTAAAATGGTGCGTATGATTTGAGATGTTTGGCAGTTCTTGGACTTGAAACAATTGCCCTCCCAACAAGAGTCATGTTCGAACACCATAAGCCTTTTCAATACAGGACAAGTTGTTTTTGTGATATGGACAATCCAGCTGGATCGTTGATGTTGTATAGGCAAAACTATGTTCCAAAGCAATAACCAAGAGGATCGAAGGACATGTGGTAGACATACATAGAATAAATTAGAATTAGAACAAACTATCATAGAATCGAATTCTCTGTGTGACTAGGTCAAGTAAAGCTATGACAGGAACTTGCTTCCTTGTCTGTACCCACTGCATCCCACTGCCTGCTTTGCTTCCCAAGTGTATTTTTGTGTGTTGCATACGGTCTGTGCCAACGACGACGACCAGCAAACTTCCCGAAACGGACCATACAATGTGTCTTGTGCATGTCCTTCGAATGCCTCCACCTTCAGAAAAACGCTAAGTTCTTTGCCACAGGACTGTCACAGGACCACATGTTCAGACCCAACCGCTACACAATCTGCACAAACCTCTGATGGTTCAGGCCGACGGTATATTTAATTGCAGAATAGTCATCACCAAGTAGATATAGAACATAGATGAACTCATAGATCATCTTCGAGAATATGTCCCCTTTCCAATCATTATCCACTACAGGTTGGCAATACAATCCCCCAAAACTCTTGGCTCAATTGCGTTCAATATATGAATTATGTTATACTTAGTTATAAATATATAATATATATGCGGCTGCCAAAAATACACCCTATTCTCTGGAACTTGAGCCAAGAGTTTTGAGGACGACAATACATCCCTCCAGCCTCTCAAATTTCTCACCAAGGATCCTCTTGTCCCACCACGCGCTTCTTGAGCTCATCCTCCAAGTTGAGCAGGCGCGCCTTGCAAGTTCACCCAGCACAAGCTCTTCCAACTGAGCCACGAACTAAGCAGTTTAAAGGAAAAAAGACATCCCCGGCAGTGTAGGATTTGGTCCCGAAAGAGTCATACACTCTTTCACCCAAATTACACCACCGCAGACCCCAAACAGGTAGGAAACAGAAGGGAGACAAGGCGGACACAGTGATCAACAAGAAGGGAACCAAGACTGAAAACAAGAAGGGAAACAAGAAGGAACACACGGCGGACACAATGACCAACAAAAAGGGAAACAAGAAGGGAGTCAAAAGGAAACAGAAGGGAGACAAGACGGACACAGTGACCAACAAGAAGGGAGACAAGACCGGACACAAAGGGAGACAGAAGGGAGAAATGTTGCATCGCCAGCGGAAAAGGGTGGACACCAGCAGTGACAGACCTGGGAGACAAACGAATACATATGGCCAGCGGAAAAGGGCGGACACCAGCAATGACAGACTTGGGAGACAAATGAATAGAAATGTTGCATCGCCAGCGGAAAAGGGCGGCCACCAGCAGTGACAGACCTGGGAGACAAATGAATAGAAATGCTACATGGCCAACGGAAAAGGGCCGACACCACCAGTGACAGACCTGGGAGACAAATGAATAGAAATGTTACATGGCCAACAGAAAAGGGCGGACACCAGCAATGACAGACCTGGGA